GGGAGGAAATCAGACAGTTCAGAGTTTTCCTCATGAGTTGTTGGGACAGCTACAGGTTTTTTGGGGTGTTGGTACGTTTAAGTTTCCTGTTATTTTTGGGAGCTACAGGTAAAGTCTTGACGAGTTTGTCGCGGGTCTGGGGGAGTTTCAGCCCCCATCCCTTCTCCTCCTCTCTCTCTGTGTGTCTCCCTGCAGCAAATTTCAGGCTCTGCAATTGCTCCGACACTGCAGCAGCCGCGTTCTGCTTTGAAACGTTTCTTTAGTTTGTTATTGCTATGAGCTCTCACGCTAACGCAAGAGTTGACTCCTCCCGACACTAAGAAAACAGAAGGGGAGGAGTCAGCTGAGCCCCTGTGTAGCAGAGCACAGAGAGGGAGAGAGAGGAAGTAAACCAACAAGCAGGAAAATGAAACTTATCGTCCTCATTTTTTTTTACCAACCTCAAAATAACTTATCGTGCAATTAATTKATTTATTGACTATCGCGACAGGCCTAGGGTTAGCTACGCTCGGAGCTGGCTATGACTCATTTGGACCTAATGCTGTTGCTTCCTCGTGATTCTGTCAGAGACGCATTAAAATAAGTACTTTGAGGACAACATAATAACACCTGTTAACTGTTTTTTTCATCCAATCATCTAATTGTAAGCTAATTTAGTCAACATGATTCTAATTTAGAAAAATTTCAGTGGGTTTAGTTTCATTCCTTTTAAAACAGTAATTTAAGCCAAATAATTTTTTCGCTTTGTGCAACTGCCATTAAGAGTCATACATTAAAAGTTGTACATTATTTACAAAGTGCTTGGTATTTTTCTTTTCCCACTGAAATTTGTAAAGTCTACCAAGTCATTTCAGTAAATAAACCCTAATTTTCTAAAACCCTTCTCACTTCTACTTTCATATATTTGTACTCTAAAGTCTGTCTTTTTTTCCCAAGCATTTTTCACATTATTATTTATGGAAGTTGAATTGAATTATGCTCCCTCCTCACAAACTAAAATGTCTTCCAGAGATAAATTTATTCTAAGCTTGGAGCATGCCAAACAAATGTGATGCAAATTCCAAGAGGTTTCTAAACTAGCTGATTTAATTTACCCATGTTGTGTTTTATCACAACAGTTGATATTATAATGGCACTACACACCAATATTGATATCCAATACACTTTTTTCATTAAGGTTTCATAGCCTCAACATTTACTTTTTAATTCAGTATTAAGTTTGAACCACTGGTAAATTTATGCACCAAGTGAAAAGTATTACAACACAGTTGTGTTTTTACATTCCTATCACACCCTTGCTAAAATAAACACTAGTTCTCCCGAAAGAACCAGCTACTTGGAGCAGAAGTGAGAGGAGGACCAAGTTCAGCTCCCTGACCCTTTCCTGTCACACTGGTCCATCTCCCCCTGCTCAGCAGCTTGTTTCCTTCTGTCCATGCTGTGTTTACTGTCTGCACTGCATACTCTCTGCTGTACACCCACACTTGTCTTTTAAATACTGTTTTTTAAAGAAATAAAATAAGTGTTCAGAATTTGATTAGTCCACAAAACCTATAGGGTGCAAAATTAACCCTTCTTACACAAACACAGTCATGTTTTTATTATAAAAATTGTTCCTAAATATCTCCATCTCCATCTTCTGCTGCTTATCCATAGTCCAGTTGCAGATGTAACAAGTCCAGGAGGGAAAACCAGACATCCCTCCCCAAAGAGACACTTTCCAGCTCGTCCTGGGGGACCCCGGGGCATTCCCAGGCAAGAGAGGATACATAATCTCTCCAACGAGTCCTGGGTGTTCCTGGGGGCTTCCTACCAGTGGGATGTACCTGAAACACCTCTAAACAGAGCCGTCTAGGACGCATCCTAATTAGATGAACCACCTCAATTGACTCCTTTCGATGCGGAGGAGCAGCGGCTCTACTCCAAGCTCCCGCCTGATGACGGATCTCCTCACACTAAGGCTGAGCCCAGCCACCTTATGAAGGAAGCTCATTTAGGGCGAAAATGTTCCTAAATGTGTTCAATTGAATTATAATCCCATGTGTTGTAATATAGAGGTCAAAACACTGGATTTAGCTTTGGTATAAAAAGCTTTTTGAAACTGCCCTGTGTTTAAGAACTACAGAATTCTTCAACTGTCCGCATGTTGGAAACTGAATAGAGATGAACTTACCATAATGGTGGACCTGGCATCAAAGACCACACGTTTTATCCTCTGAATGAAGCCATCACCTCCATATGCCTGCAAGACACGGTTCAGTGAAGTGATTATTAGATTAACATAATTTTAAGATCTGGTAAGATTTTTTTTCCAATGCCTTGATATGTAAAACTGAAGTTGAACAAGTTTGAACTTACTTAAAAAATACATTATCATTTTTATTCAATTCCAAATTTGTCTTCATTGCTTATAAATAATAATTCTGTATGCCGTTTATGACATTTACATGAGAACTTAATTTAAACAATAAAAAAGTTAAAAAAAACATCTTAATTTAAAGTTTTACACTGAAAAAAATTAACCAGCTAAAAATTTGTTTAAAAATACTAGATTATAGTCTGAATCTTCTCAAATTAGGTGAAAGATCTGTCAGTGAAGTAAAACAAGCTCACGTGATAAGACTTTTTCAAATAAGGAAAAATTTCCAGGCTAAGAAAAATAATCTAACACATTCTGCCCCCTGACTGTGTATCAGTCTTAAAACAAGATCTAAAATCATTTTTGGCTTCATATAAGATTGAACGACTTGGTTAGATGGACGCTTTTGCAGTGTATGCATCAAGTCCATCTACCCATTAGATCCTAAATACCCTAATATCCTTCTCTGCATAAAATGATATAATAGGAGAAACTCAAATATGGGTGTTATCCAGCAGCTCAGCTCCACATGAGCTCATTAGTTAGCTTAAAGCACCTGGGCAGCAAATAAGTGATCAGTCCTGATGCTAATTCATCAGGATGTCCAGGTAATTAGCTCTGTGAACAAGCTGAAGGTGGGCAGGAGACAATCCCTGTGGAAGCAGCTGTTGCACACCAATCTTAGCCTGCGTGAGGCCAGTGCAAATAAAAAAAAGTTTGTTTTATTACACCCATTTTTATAGCATGTTGGATTTCTTTTTTGCTTTGCTGAAAATGGGGAAACAATAGAAGACCATTAAAGCTGGACTATGTGTCACAATAGCAGGGTGTAAGTATATACTTAAAAGAAAAAAGTCTGCATCTAAAAACAAAATACACTTCGAGCCACAGACTTCCAAATCTGCCCTTACACGAAGCAAAACTCACCATCTGTATTCCACTCTTCACAACGTATGAGTTTTATTTGAAAAGTGGCAAAAAAAATACTTATTTTTTCCATTCACAGGGAAARAAAATATGCTCTCCGCATTCTACAAGAACATCCTTGAAATCCACAGTGAATACTGTAACATACTTTCCAACCACCATTATTCTGAGTTCTACATGAAACATGAACCAGCCCATTACCATCATGACGTAAAAAGGCTAAATTGTCCAGGCTTTATGCAGAAACTGTACAGCAGAAACTTGGAGGTTTCTGCTACTGTTTATTTGGTGGGAGTTGGTTTGTTTTACTAAGTAAAAAATAACTCAGAATGTTCTCGGAAACAGAAAAATGAGGACCTCTGACTGCCTGACTTATGGTGTCATACATCTGGTGAGTTCAGTGCAGAGCAGGAAAAACAGATTTCTTTTCCCATGTTTGTGCACATGCTACAACACGGAGCCATGTAGTAATCTCAGTGTTTGATTTAAAAGAGAATTCTTGTAGATAATCTGTCCAAATAAAACAGAAAAACATAATATAAACACGTAAAAGGAGATTGCAAAAATCATTCTTTTGGTGTGAATATTTTTTCAGGAGGGCTTTACAATGCAAGACAGCACGCCTGATTAATGAAGAGTACTTGTGTGATTACAATGGTACAACACGAGGGGAAGGAGGGGGCAAATGAGCCATTCTGAGCTGAATGCGTAAACAGAAAGCAGGAATGGGAGACTAGGAAGGCGGAGAGGAGTGGAGGATTCTGACCTGTGCAGAACCGTTCAAAACACTGTTGATGAATTGAACCAGCTGCTCCATGGTCTCAATCGGCTCACTGGGCAGGAAGTACTGCTCGTTGGATGTGTTGAGGATGATTACGGAGGGCACGGCCACCTCGCTGAGGAAAAAAAATCAGCTTTTAATCTTCTTAACCTTAGTTCCATGGGGTGCTATTATCAAAGTGAATCATTAGATGGAAGCAATTTGCAACACACAATGCAAGACAGGAGAAAAAGAATAGATGAGATAAACAAAGCTTTTTGCACAACTTTTAATTAAATGAAGAGTTCTTTCTGCCAGTGAGAAAGCAGCACAGACTGGCTTTTCTGGGAGTGGCATTACTTCTAAAAGGACAATTTAAAGAAAGGTTCTATGGAAAGGTTACGAGCAGTTATCTTAGCTGCTCTTGCACTTTAGATTACAAAAACATAATTGAGACGCATCTAACGGACTTGTGAAAACTATTTAAAAATCCTGCTGCCTTTAGGTCAGAGGCTTTGTGGGTCATTCTGACACGAGCAGCAGGAGAATTAAGCCCTTTTTCTTACAATTTCTTTGAACATGCTTAAAATCCAGGACACTCCTTTGCATAGGGCGGATTGAACTCTGTCTCGAGTATTTGCCAAGCGAATGGTCTTGTAAACTCTGTAGCACGAGAACGCCACTAAGAGGCATTTAGCTAACGAGGTGTCTTTGGTTTTCTGATGCCTTCTTCCAGCTGGTGATGCCTCAGGACGGCCTCACAGCACTGTGTAAAACCTTGGGTTTGTCTAGATGATTTATTACTTTTTAATACTAAGTAAATTTTGTAAAATTCATAAGCAGCATGTGGCTGACCACAATTATTTTATAAAGCCAGAGGAAGACACATACAGAGTAAATTGTGCCAGCTTAGATAGAAGTGGGTACCAATGTTACAACTGTTTTCTGACTGTAGCTTCACAGAAACACCATAAACTTGCACAGATTTCATAAGCAGCGTGAGGATGACCACAGTTATTTTATGAAGGAGAAGAAGAAGCACAGAAAAATTGCACCAGCTTGGATAGAGAAAGTGGGAAGCAATTTTAGTTTCAGCAACTGTTGTGTGTTTTCCTAAATTCCAGTCTAGTTCAATTTGTAACCTTTTTAAAAGGCGGGCGGGGAGCATTATATTAGTTTAAAATGGTCTTCAAACAATGTTATCATTTATCGCAGTAAYTTTTGAGACAATTTATCATCCAGCAAGGCCACTTAGCAGTATTATTTTTCAATTAAGATCTGGAAACATTCCACAGAACCTCACATCAGAAGATCTGAACTATGAATTTATTATTTAAAAAAAGGGAAACTTGAAATCTAAATTGGTCTGTTCTTCAGTTTTTTTATTCATAAAATATTTTTCTGTTTTACTAAAGGAAAATTGCAGAGTCCAGAGGAAAGTCCCTCTGTAGCCATGCTGAGACACAAACAAGCCCTGCAGTCCACTCATCTTCATTTTAGCAGAGGACTCAAACGGTAACCTTCACTTTACACTCCTGAGCTTGCTAAGCTCCACAAATCGGCAAAGGAATTATAAATCTTAGCAAGATAAGGAATAAGGTCATAAAACAACTAATCCCTCCTCCACACATCTCATGCAACACCAAAGCTTAGCTTAGATAAGGTATCCCGGTGCTTAGATTTATGTGAAAACACACACAAACACACACACACACAGTCCATCACTGCGCTGCCATTTCCCATCCCCACGGTGATACTCAACCTGGCAACAAATTGCACACATGCGCAAACATATCCATCAATGTCCCAATCCTTCACCCAGCTGGGATCAGGAGTGCAAACACACACGCCTGTGTGGTGGAGTCATCAACGCTTCACAACTCTGTCCAGCTGAGATCTGCAATCACGTAAACACATACAACACACGCAAACACACGCACGCACACGTAATGAATGCATATTTTCATCTAACATAAAGGCTACTCCAACAGATGGCACCCATTTAAAGTAAAACTGAATTAGCCTTTATGTCTGTAAGTGGCACTACTGGGGAGGTTGGCACCGTGATGAAGGGACATACTTAATCATTTTATTTCCACTACAGAAAACAAGTRCCATATAAGATTTCATTTAAAAATCATACCATACCAATTATATTTGTTTATTGTCCAAATGAAAGGAATGAGGCTGGCTGGTAATGACGATTTGTCTATTTAAAAGAAAAGAGGGTTTTATTGACTTTCAAAACCTCTCCCTTAAGGGAGGCCCAGGATTAAAATAGCAGTGTCAGCATAATATAACTTTAGGTACACACGAAAAGTTGTTCTAAATACTACATCAGAATAAAGCTGCTCTGGTACAAAAATACTAAACTTGATATTGAAATTTTTTAAAAAATTAGATACAATTTTTGATACGCAAAGGGGGGACAAGAGATAAAAGGAGAAACATTTGAATTGACTTTAAACAACAAATTTGACTATTTTTGTCATCTGGACTCTATTACTGACAATCAAATAATACAATTTAAAAGACAATAAAACAATAAACAAACATGGTTGTCAGGAGGGAAAAACAGGTCCAAATTAATAATTCCCTAAATGTTAACCCATTCATTTAAAATAACATTGATATTTCTGTAAAAAGCCATCTTGAATCAGGTTTATTTCAACACTTAATTAGTTTTAGACGCAAATAAAACAGTTACTGTATGAGAGCTCACTAAAATCTATCCAAGGAATAGTTTGCTAACAAAGCTGACTTCAAAAGTAATGTCAAAGTTGTAAACAAAGTTCTTGCCTAATCTGTTGCTTGGATTAAAAGATAAGGATGACTCTACTATGGCCACACACAAATTTTAGCTCAGCATCTATAAACCAATGAAGTGTTTCCATTTTTGTGTTTGTTGAAGGGGACATATCATGCCATATTCACTGTAAAATACATTTTGTTGTGTATTTGGAGTCTGCAGGAGTGCAGAAAAGTTTAATTTAGTCTCTCCCGGTGCTGTGTAGATATCTTCATATTCTGTTGGAGTCATTTTTCAATCTGTTCAGTTTTCTCTATTCTCTGTTTCGTTTTCTAAACTATTAAGTCACAATTTTTGCGACCTAACTGGCAAATAAGGTCTGGACTTACCAACTACAATTTGATGGTCTTCATTCTCCTCTGGCTCCAACATGTAAAGCTGGATGGACAAGTCTTCTGTTGTTGACATATTTTAATTAATTTGTAAATAAATGTTTCTGCAGCACTATACATTTGTAAACCCCTCTATTAAAGTACAACAGACCAAGACAGCCTCAAAACGAGTTGATCTGAAAAACATCTCAGGTGAAAGAAGGGATTGTGGAGTTACAATAAGGGGAAATTTAGACAAAACCATTGCAGTTCCACTTTATATAGACCCCAACTGAATGATTTAAATGTGAAAAAGAAGAATTTAAAAGTAAGATGTGTCTCCTTTAAGGTTGATTAGCTGTGTTAGCCATCTTGTTTAAAGTTGACTTTAAAAGTTCAACAGTTGCAGATAAACATTTATGATTACTTTCTGWATCTGTTGTTGAAAATTGACATATGATTCATGAAATGTTTTCCTAACACACAAACACAAAGTCTACCATCATGAAAGGGCTCGAGACTTTGAATGTCACTCATTGTTCATGTGTTCTTATGTATATGCACTTCTAATGTTAACATGAGAAGCCTTTAGTTGAACARAGAACTGACAGACCGCTGTCAGTAATCACAGTGATGACAGAAAGAAGGATAAAAAGCCATCAGATTTATTTCTACAGTCCTCCTATGAGAGAGGATTAGCGGACACTGACAGGCCAGGATTTCATCCCTCAAAAGAGGGCAATTAATCCTGCACCACAGCAGCCAAATTCAGCCTCATAAAAACCTAGTGAAGTGCACACAGTATATGCCCATACAAAATTAGAAGTGCTAATCACCTCCTTTATCCTTAAAGTGCCTGCCTAATTTTAACTCMGCGCAAGAACTTTGTTAGCTGAACGTAGTCATATTTCAAATCCAACTTCCACGATCCTCGCTGACACGCTGACTTAATTACATGGGACTTAGGAGACCACGTCTGCTWTAATCTGCCTCTTACAAACAATAACATGCTCAAATTAAAACAACATCCTGCAGCGGACCCATTACGCTCGCAGGCTCTCACACAAAATTAAACAGACGCACGTAATGAGATACTGTAAGACACAAAACAGACAAGTCAACTGCTAGAGCCCCAATGGCCCTTAACACTATAGTGGGGCTTTCTGTCTAATTAAAAGTGTGGCAAGTCAGATGGAGGGTCTCACCAAGCATGACACCCTAACAGACTGGGCACAAAGCTGCTGCAGCAGGGTCTTACTGCATCATTAGTGCTGCTCTGTGGAGAGATATTAAAAACACAGGACCACTACAGATTTAAGCCACACACAGCCTCTTCAGAAGTTCCTGAAATGTCCTTTAAACCAAGCTGACCTTTTCCGTGCAGTTTTGTAGGAGTGTTTGCATTTGGATCTTTGTGTTGTTTTTTTTTTGTCAGATGTCTAAAACGGCTCTCCATAGTCTGAGGGTTAAAAGTTGCAAAAAAGCACTGAAAAAAAATGACAGTCTGTCTGTGTAATTGACTTCTCCACAAGAGAGCATCCTTAATGGCAAAGGCTGGCATTACAAGCCGGTGCAGAGCAGGATAAGTGGCTGACAGAAGGTAACATGAGGCTGAGAAGGAGAAGGATAACAGGAGAGGAGGGGGAGGAGGCTGGATATGAGACACTCACCCCATAATGAGGCTGTTAATGTAGTCGTTCCCATCTATGTGGCCAAACTGGAAGTCCCTGGGGATGAAAGGAAAATCAGTGGCTTGAGAAAATGAAATGTCCAAAAAAAAAAAAAAAAAAACTTTTTCTCCTGGTTCTGTAAACTGTACAGCATTAGCACAAACCAAGGCATTATTTTCTTATGCATAATATCACACAAAGAAACTTTATTGAAGGAAACGCAAAGGTTTTTTTTTTTCCCTTTGTCACTGCAGAAGACGGGGGAAAAAATTATCCTCAAAGCGYCATACTGTGCTGTCTGCTGCATCTATTTTTTCCCCCACCACCACAGAAAAGACTCAGGTTATTTATCTAAATGATAAGGAAGGAAGAGGAATTCAATTTGTATCTCATTGTGCTGCACAAYGTCTGAGCAGAGCGTACTGTGGCTGGACAAGGGAAAGGGGAGCTGCACAAGACCAGGAAAGCAGTGATTTCCATTAAATGACCGATTACGARATATAGATATTATAAATTCTGAATCATAGCTACAACTAGGACATTTGTCCCCTGGGCATTAAATAATACTACATATGCTAATATAAACGATATGATTGTGACAAAACTGAGCAAGATAAAAACTTTGATGGCTGCGATGGGGAAAAAAGTAGTCAAAGATTGAGATAATCCTGCCGACAATAGCAGGTCAGTTTGGGAATAAAGCTTATCTCTAAGCAAGTTTTTTTTTTTTCTAAAAGCTGCGGCACAATGAGATATGAATCAAAAATAAATGGAAAATTATCAACACCTCTAAAACTGACATTACAGTGCACGAGTACATAAAATATGATGTTGAAGCTAAACGATTCTTTTCATACCCCTTTGCTACTCAACAGAAAAATGTTTTTTTTTTTTTTTTTTTTTTTGTGGTCAAGAAAAACCTTTTTTGCACCTTTAGCCATGATAAATCTACTGTAAGTAATTGTAAGATTTTTTTTCTCATCCTTGTATTTAACAAGATACCTGGACCATGAGTATCAGTTGACAGGTGACTGATTGCCAATCCAATTTAAAATGTTTTTCTGACTGGGAGAAATACATTGAGAGGACACAAAAGACTCGACTTTAGTGCTGTTGCACTTACTGAGATGGATGGCAGGGGCATTATTGTTTCACCCAAGTCACAGATCCAAATTGACAAATGTGTGAGAGGCAGCATGGTGGAACATGCCACACTGGAAACTGAGGCTGTCATGTTACACATCATGCTTCTGATTCCACCACACCGGGAAGCTATTTCAAAAGGACACACTCAGATGGAGTTTCGCTGCTTGTATCACATGGCATAAATAGAAAAAGAAAAAAAAAGGGACAGGTTTTGGCAGCACAACACAGGGTAGAGGGGTCTTAAAAGTGTGATATTAGTGTGAATTGTTTTACCTATTTCTTTCCTATTACTTAGAACTAAAATAGCATTTGAGCGCAGGCGATGAGGTGGAAAATTGTGACATTTTGAAGAAAATTCCGGTTAAAGTGTGAACTTCTAATGAAAAAACAAAGATGCTAAGAATTAGAATTTGTCCCTATTTTAAAGTTAAGCAAAAAATACAGTAGACACCATCAGCTTCTTTTCCACTAATACAAAAACTACCAATACATACATGAAAATGAATAATCAGAACCTAAAATCAATTAAATTCCAACATATTACAAATATAAAATCCAGTTTAAGCAGTTTGTATTTGTTTTTGTTTTTTTTTCAAGTAAATGGTAAGACTAATGATTTCGACCACTTGGTTTTTGCTTTGATACTAAGGGGTAACATGTGTTTCCTTTGCTACTTTCTCCTGTTTTTTTATGCTACCAACTGGTCCAGTAGAATACATTAGGGTTAGAAAATGTTTTTGAAAACAAATTGATGATAGCCATCAGWGTGAACTGTAAAGTTATGAAACCTAAAAAACAAAACAATGTACAACAATGTTCCTGAAATACCCCATGTATAAAGCTGGGCGTTTCATATCATAATTAGTCATGCCGTAAAAATGCATTTTGGCACCTGGATTGTGCTGAATTTCTTTGCATTTAAAGAAAAAATCTGAGTTCAAAAGGTTTTTTTGAGCCAGAGTCAAAATTTTCAGACTCAATGACTGTGATAAGGTTTTTTTTTTTTTTAGTTTTACAAGCAGCAACTGGTAGATCAAAGTAAAGACAATAATAAACTGGTGCAGTATTTGAGCACACATGCCGACCAAATGAAAGAAAAAAACATGCCCACAAGTACAATTTGCACAAATACAACCAGGTGCCCCTCATCACCCCCACACACAGACACACACAAATGCCACAAATGGTGGGTGAGCCAAATGCCACAACACTGATTACTACATCAAACAGCATCAGTTCCTTGAAATGTCAGTCATCTCCTGTGATCTCTTCACTCCCTGTACTCCCTCCACCTACCATCGGGGGCGACACTCCAGTCGGGGACTTGTAATTATGAGTACTGCTTAGGTGTGTCAGAACACTGCAGGCAGCTCTGATCTCAGTGGGAACCTTCAAACTTGGATGTCTTCAAAAAGCAGCACAAGGTAACGTGGCGGATAGTGGTGTAATTGATGATAGAGATCTGTGTAATTCAATCAGCCCTAATGGGAATGCCTGGAGAGGCTGAAATCCTTTGATCATGGCACTTTGAGARGCACGTCTTTATTCCAAAGCAGCAGCCACTTCAGCGGAGCACATGCTTGTTTTAACCTGAGTCCTCTAGTTAAAAGGATGACCCACCGCTTGTTCTTACCGAATGAGCGCTTCATTCAACAGTCCTTTGTTAAACACCCGAGTGTGCGCATCATCGTCAACTTCCGACAGCTTTCTTTCCAACCTGCCATGAAATTTATACGCTCTGTATTTTTATTGTTTCTCTTTTGCCTTGTTACAGTTCCTTTCCAGCACAGGAAAAAAGTCAAACAACACAGTGCGTATCATAAACACCTTATTCCAAGTTGTTATTGCACAAGTGGAGCTGGAGAAAAAAAAGAGGAAATTATGCATTAATAAAAGCCGAGTTGGGCTTGTGATTGACAGCTGAAAAGAACACCTACATTTGGAAGCTGACATTTCACATAATTACCTTTCTACTGAACCGCTACAAAAAACAGACGTGCTCTGACAACGGCAAAAAGTTGCTTGTGAATAGACAGCCAGTGCTCCCCCGTGAGTATACCGTCCCAGAATAAATGTATAAATTGGATTTTCATCTCTGACCTCATCGCACATCCGTGCCTCACCTGTTAAAATGTTCTCTGTATTCCTTCGCCACCCTCTGCATCAAGGTCTTTAATCTAAAAGCAAATGAGAAGAGAGTGAAAAACCACATAAGTCACAGTCTATCTTTATTTAGCTGGTGGCAGCAATTTGTGGGGAAGCGCCAAACAATAACGGCAAGTCTTATCTCTTTATTTGAAAGCCACACACCTAAATGCAGCTATCGTGGGGAAGTGTGGGAGCAATTTATAAAGAGCTGTGCTTTTTAATTTCAGCGCTCTTTGTACCTGCTGCTCTGCTCTGTGGGGTCCTTCTCATCGATGATCGCGATCGCCACCAGTTTGCCTGAGGGCGCAGATAAGGGTTACAAATTACGATCGGACGCACAAAAAGATGGCGTGGAGACAAGAGCAGGCCAGTTAGATGCTCTGTGGGAGATGCATCACCTCGCAATGGGTAAAAGAAAGGAAGAGGCTCAGAAGATGATTTATTCATTAATCACTTATAGATTAAAAGGCTCTGCTTGTTTGTGCAGAAAATAAGTCGTCACTTTTTTGGTATGGGAGCTATTTAGATGCAATTCAAAGCRCAAAACCCATGACGTGGCAGATAGGTCTTCCTAAAAATAAAGAATTTTGTGACTAAACTTAAATRGTTTCCTATTCAAACTGGTATGATTCAAGGCTGGGAGCCAACAGACTTTTGGATGAGAGTGCCAGCCTGCCCCCTGCTGCTCAMTGATGCTGAGAGGTTATGTAAAGTGAGTAGACAGCCTGGCATCAGGAGAAGGAAAAATAGCAACCATGGAAGAAATGTGTATATCATATTCACCTCAACATGTACTTAAAATAACTTAACACCACCAAGGTCTGTGACTGTTCAGGAAACACAAAAAAAGCAGAGGGGAAACATTAATTTATGGTGTTTCTGCGTTTCCCCTCCACACTAGGGCATCATGGGAGTTCCACCTGCGGGAATATGCATAATTAACTCTGTTCAGTTTTTGAACGCTTAACAAGGTGCACGAGATCTGCTGTTGTACTAGTAGGGTTTTCTATGGAGCTGGAATAATCTGCATATAAACATCATTCATCTTTGTGCTGTCAGAAGGTGTACAGGGAATTTGCTGCATCACTGTAGAGTTTAAGTCAAGGATAAGCTTTTTTAAAGTTAAAAATGGGGAAAAAAAGCTTTGTAAGAATGATTTTCCTGTTATAAATTATATTATTTCCTTGTGATACAGACACTATTACCATCCGTACAAACAATGCCTGAGTAGCAAATGTGTTTACAATCTTTTTCATGGTTTAACATTCTCCGTGGGGTAAGAGTGATGTTGGAGATGCTCATTAGTCATTAGGCTCATGTGTTCTTTAGAAAATCCAGGTGTGACGTTGTTAAATGAAATGAATTACAGTAACAGTAGAAAATGCAAAAAACACAAAAACCCAGTTTAGAAAAAGTTGCCTCTCAGCAAATAGGTTGCCAGATGGAATCATCGCCGGGGGCCTTTCTGGGTACAGCTTGCATGTTCTCTCCATGCATGCATGGGTTTCCTCCAGGCACTCACTTTTTGTTGCTCTTTAATAGAGATAAAGTTTTAAAAATCAAAACATTTTCTGTGCTTTACAGTATATAGAAAAACAAAACAAAATGAAAATAAAAACTTTTTTTGGAGAGGCTCTAGGTAAAGTAAGTCATTGTTAAATACTGCAATGGAAAATTACATCTTGTACACAGTACACTTGTACAGTTCAGTAAAGACTGGTCTATCCTCTTGTTTTATCTCCACTCAGCTTCTAAAAAAATGCTACAATTTACTGTAAAACAAAAGTAGAAAAGAAAATAATGTTTTTCTATTGCCTGTTTGGAGGGGGTAAGGGGCTTTATAATTGCTAGAGTTCACTTCAGATGTTTTAAAGTTCACTCATCCTAAAGTCTCATTCCAGCAGTTTTTAAAACTATGAAGACTTAACTGTGTTGATCCAAGTCTTGCAAATAATCAAACAATCTCTTAATCTTTAAGCCATAAAAAATCTTATTAGCAGCATGACCCTACTAGCTAAATAAAATGACAGGTAAATATTAGCTTGGCGATTGCCTTCACACACAGTTCCACTCAATTCTAGTTTCCCTTCACTGCTCTGTCTGGGACTTCTCCAGTAGAATTTCTACGGGGCCAATCAGCAAACGGAAGGAGTCGTGAACGACCACGTCGATTTTTGAGTTCAGCAATGTTAGCTGTGGCAGTGAATGAAACCACAATAAGACTTGTTCAGTTTGCTACTTCTCTCCTCTCATTAGAGGATGGTTGTGTACAGCACATGCTATTTCCAGTTAGCTTCTTAGCTAAGCTTCCTTCACGGTCGAGCTGGCGCACTACATGGATCACAGCTGAACGTTAGCAGTTAGGTAAATCAAATCCAATCGCTTTAAACTTCAACAGAGTCTACGCCTCCAGCAAGAAATTGCTTCTCAATAGCCGAGGGTCCAGACCCTCGTACGTAGCAAAGTGTAGAACCAGGGTATGTGTTTATTTTTATTTTTTTACCAGGTTAGGTGAACATTATCTGCACGTTTTTTTTATTTTCTCATTACTACAAACACTTTGTTTAGAGTGTCTGTTTGCTAAACCAGCACAGAATATTCTTTATTTTTTTCTTACAAATCTTATTAGGAGAACGTTATCGTTTTCTTAAGCTGCTGCCCTCTTGCATCAAGCTTTCATGCATGAATTTTTGGGGCCATTTGTGACCAACACAAGACGTAGAATTTGGTATGCTTTTTTGTCTTTGTGTCTATGGTGTATAATGATGTGATTGTGATGCTGTATTTCTGAGTGTTTTATGTGCTGCAGAACAGGAACCTGCTGTAAAACAGCAATTATGCTGAGTCAGGCTTTTTAATAATCTTTTCCTGTTAAATAAATAAATCAAATCAAACTGCAGAAATGTAAGGCTGGTTTACTTTTCAGCAGCCTCATCACTTGATTATACTGTGTCATGATTCTTAATTAAAGCCAATTACATGAAAAGGTTCAGGGACTAAATAGGATCTTGCTTCACATTCTAATGCATCATGAAGCATTTGTGAATCTCTCATTAATGCTCATGTCCTTCAAAGTAAAAAAAGAGTTTCTGATGAAGGCTTAAAGACGTGTTCACTCTTGCGCAGTGATGTAATCTAATTTAATACATCCATCCCAGAACTCACATCATACTTCCTGAAATCTGCCAAAGCAGCGCTCTATCTAATCCACTGGTTTAGGGAGTGTATTGTTTGCCCAGCTGATAATGTTTACAGACTGGTTTGGTGTTTAAATCCAGCATTAATATGCAGTGAGATCCATGGGTCAAACAGAGTGGAAAACAACAAAGAATATGTGTACAAGTACAAACATTTTGTAATGCTAATAAATAYGTTTTTGTGTTATTGTAGTCATTTCTACCCCAAGAAAACAACTTTACAATGTTTCTATCCAGCTCAACAACAAAAAAAGAACTGCATTCTAACATATTCAAACATATTCTAACATATTCTGTATTCAAACAGACTGTGCTTCAGTTTACAGCTGCTTCATCTCTCCGTCTGTGTTTTGGTCCCTTAAATTATGGCACATAAAAAGATCTAATTTACAGTTTCAGGCTCTTCGCTGATTTCCGTCATGCTAGCATTTAGATGTGGGCCCCGAGTTCTGTCTCCTCATGACTTATGAAGTGTGGGATAGGGGATTTTCAAGCATAAAATGTCATCCCACCAGCTCCACTGAGCCCAAGTGCATGAAATTTTATACTCGGTTGAAAAGGTTGAAGACACTTCAGTGACAAGGCGGCTGCCATCCATTTATTTATTTGTTTGTTTCTCCACACATTCACGCCAACTTAAACTGCAAATTTTCAATCAGTCACATTGTTTATCCAATTAACATGATACACAGAGTTTTTATAAGCAGCAACTTTGGCTTGGATCAGCAAGAAAGCATTTCAGCAGCCTGCCGGGCATTAAGTATTAGGAACTTAAATAGCACCTTTTAAAGCTTGTTCGGATTCTACAAAATGCTTTATAATGCGTTTCTTATACACACACATTCATACAGTGCTTTTTATTACACACACTACATATTTTCCCTAGAATCACACACCAATTAGCATATCAGCATGGGGGTTTAGTGTCCTGCCTAAAAACATTTCAGCACCTGAAGGGCTGGGCATCAAACTGCCAACCTTCAAGTTTGCAAATCACTGTTGAGCCACAACTGCCTCAGTGTTCACAGTAAGAAGCTCGTAAAGGAGGGGAAAGCTGTTTCTAATATTAGAAAAGCACAGGTTTTCTGCAAAGAGCATCAATTTACTGCTGTTTGAGAGGCAGTTTGTATTTCCATCTTTTTTACTTAAATTACCTTTTCAAGGAAAACTGTATTTGTGCAAGAATATGGGCTATTTCTGAAGGGCAAGGAGACATTTTTTTAAAGGAAGTCTAAATATTAAAGTAAGGCAGGTATTCCTGCATGGACTCCTGACAATAGCTGCTCTAAAWGTGTGATTTTTTTTAAGCTGCCACATGTTGACTGCATAATTGAGAGTGGGGCTGCTAAACTTAGGGAATTCATTATATTCTAAAATTGTGCTGATGCTTCAAATGATGTGTGCTTGTATTTAATATGCAGTTCAAAAATGCTTACGAGTGACTTTAATTCCCTGGTCGTAAAATGTAAAAAAAAAAAAAAACTAAAGGCACAAAAACAGCAATAAAACACACAGATTATGCACACAATAAAAAGAAAATCTAAATGAGCTCAACAAAAACACTGAGTTGAATTTATGCTGAAAAATCACTTGGGAAGAAAAAGGTGAGATAAAATTACTAAACATGTCCTATACTTCCATTTGACATGTAAGCACTTTGTCTTTGTTATTTATTTTTATTTTTTTAATAAACTAACTATCATGAAGTTTTGAACC